CCACGGGGATATATTATATTTTTACAAACTTTTGAACAACAAGTGTGATTCTCCAATGCTTGTTGGTTCTATATGTGTTCACGTTCCTCCGAGATTACTTCGCTTTGATTTTCTATTTATGACACCTACTCCTAGAACCAATGCCTGTCAAAACTCTCCTTTATTGAGAATGACAAGATCGGCAAATCGTGTTAACATAGATCTGTTTCAGCATTCTTTCTATGCATTTAAAAAACTGCTCTTTGCTGCAGTTGGTGTGTTGCCTCGAGCGTTCATTTGATATTTGATATATGATATATTTATATCACCTAAACTTAGTTTTAGTTTTTTTTTCCTTTTGAATCACTTTTGTATCATTAATGTTAATTCATTATTATGATTATTGTGAACTGTAATTCTATTTTATTTGTATACAATTGGTTGTTTGTGGTACAGTATTATTGGGTTCGACCTGTTTCTGTACCCACATGAAATAAATAAATAAATAAATATTATTTTAATTTTTAATATTAATCTCAATTTATTTCTATTTTAGGCCACATCAGAAGGTTGTTCATTCGTTTCCGACAACTCCACCGAAAAATCGTACGAAACCGAAGAAAAATCTCATTCGATTCAATCCGAAATAAACTTAAAAACAATCATATCAGAATTAAACAACAACGTATCCGACTTAAAAACCCGCTTATCATTAAGCGAAGAGAAAGAGGCGATGCTCCTCGAAAGAAACCGAGAACTCGAAGCAAATTTAGAAGAAAAGCGACGAAATTTGAAGGAAATAATGGGAAAAGTAAAAGAGTATCACAAATTAGAGACTAAATGCAAAGAATTAACCGCTAAAATTAACGATATGGAGCACGAAAACGGATTAAAACATATTAAGATAGTCGATTTAACGTTGGAGTTGGATCATTTAAAGAAAAACAAAAAAATGAATTCGTCATCGCGCGGAATTAAAATTGAGAGTCAACAGAAAGAGGATGAATTAAATCGCGTTATTGAAGAGGTGAAAAGGGAAAAAGACGAGATTGAAAGCGAAAAGAGGCGTTTAGAGGATGTTTTGAGAAGTTTAGAGGAGGAAAGGGTTACTTTAAAAATTGAAATTCAAACTCATTTAACTGAAATTATGAGGTTGGAGGAGAATGGGAGAGATTTAAAGCACGAATTGACGCTTTTAAGGTACGAAAGGGACAACTTAGAGATGAAAACTTCAGCTATGCAGGTTAAATTAGAAAGTATTGAAAACGAAAACGAAGAGCTCCGCAAAGATAATGAGCGCCTTTTAAGCGCGAAATCTTCTAACTCGACTTTAGAGAAGGAACAAAGAGATTTGAACGAATTAACGTTTAAGTTGAAGTTGGAAAAGTTGCAGACGGAGAAGGAGGTAATTAATGAGAATTGGAGGAAAGAAAGGGAACAATTAATGAGGAAGTTGGGGCAAAAAGTGAGAGATTTAGAGAGTTGCGAGGCTCAATTGGATCAATACGAGCAGGATAAATGCGAATTGGAGGATGAGATTGATGGGTTAAAAGAGGAATTGGGGAAAGTTAAGGAAGATGTTATTGAGAAGGATAAATTAATTAATGAGATGAAAGAGGAGATTGATTTGTTAAGGGGGAATGTTAAGGAGTTTGAGGGGGAGCTAAAACGGAAAGAATCGAAACTTTTTTCTGTTAGTAATGAGTTGGTTTTGTTGAAGGAGTCGAAGGAGAATATTAATCAGGAATTATTTTTGTACAAAAATTTGTGTGATGATCATAAAAAGAAAATTGAGAGGATGGAGGTGTTAATTGGGGAGTTGGAGGGCCAAGTTGAGGAGAAAAAGGTTGTTTTGAACGAACAAGGGTTGAAGTTGACTCAGCTACAAAGAGAAATCGACGAGAAATTGGGGGAATTAAAAGAAATCACGGAGAAATTCGACGGGTTAAAGCAACAAAAAGAGGATGAGTTTAAAAGTAGGATTAATTATCTAGAAAATGATGTGGAGAAGAAAAAAAATATTATTAAGACTTTTATAAAGGAGAATAAAAATTTAAAAACTTTGTTAAAAAACCCCGAAGAAATTTTTGAAAAGATAAGAAGTTTATCCGAAGAAAATGAAGAATTAAAAAAATTAAATAAAAACTTCCCAATCGATGATAAATCAAAAATGATCGACGAAATCAATAAAAGCTTTTCGGAAGCGATGCAAAAAGTATATTTCACCGAAAAAATAATGCACGAAACCGAAGAAGATTTAACACTTTACTGTAAAAGAGAAATCGAAAAATACAAGAAAGAAAATGAAGCGTTAAAAAAATCGCATCAAAACGAAATAAGTAACTTATTAAAAGAAATTGAGACGACTAAAAGCGAATTGGAATTAGTGATGGGGGAAAAATCGTTTTCTTTGCCGAATTTAAAAGAGTCAAAAAAATCTTGTTTCGATTCGCGCTCCGAAAGCAAATTAAAACGGTTAAATCACGATAAATTAACGTTCAAAAACGATAAATTAGAGAAAAAAATTTTAGATTTGCAAGACGAATTAAACGCCGAAAAAGAATCTAAACGACTAAAACAAATCGAATTAAAAGAAATCTTATCTCAAAATCGAATTAATTTAGAAAATGTCACGTTAAATACAATTAATTCCTTTTTAATTCCTTCAAATTTATTAAAGAAAAACGATGCGATTTTAACCAAAATTCATTTATCTGAAATGTTGGAAAATGAAGTTTTGAAAGTTAAGGAGCAAATTGAGATGACTTCGGGTGTTTTGGATTATTTGTGTTTGAAGAAATCGGGGGAGAAGGAAATTCGGGACGAATCCTGTCAAACTGAAGTTGTTGAAATGAATTTGGCCCAAAATAAAAGTGGGTTTGTTTTGAATCCGGCGACTTTTGTGCCGAAATGTTATGATCCGGTGGAGAGTCTTCAGTTTGCTTGTTCTGGGGATGCTGGGAGATCGAGGGATCTTGGGGTGATGTTTACGAGGTCGCAAGAAAATGAGGTAATTTTATTAATTAATTTTCTTATTTAAACTTGTTGTTCGTTACATGTTTCTTGCTTTACTCCGGAATACAACAAAAAATAATCTACCCCATTTTCAAAGAAATATTTATTAATTTAGCCGAGGACGCTTGCGGCCGAGGCAGTATATCAATACTGCGTTAATTCAAAACTACCCTATTTACAAAGAAATATTATTCTAATTAATTCAAGGTCGCTTGCGGCCGAGGCAGTACATCAATGTCATGTTTATACCGAATTAACCCATTTTTAAGGATGTTTATATTAATTAAGCCGAGGTCGCTTGCGGCCGAGGCAGTTTATTATTACCAAGTTCATAGAGAAGTATACCACTTTTAAAGATATATGTACTAATTAAGTCGAGGTCGCTTGCGGGCGAGGCGCTACATCCATGCTGTGTCAACACAAAACTATCCCACTTTCAACGATATACTTTTAAATTACGCCGAGGTCGCTTGCGGCTGAGGCAGTTTATTATTACCAAGTTCATACAGAATTATACCATTTTTAAAAATGTTTGTACAGGGTGTCCAAATTTCGATGGGTTTGCAGGGTATCTCAGTTATTATGAAAGATAGAAAGTTGCGGTTTTCGGCTATCCGGAAACTTAGTAAAAAAGTAAAAACGGGTTCTAATAGATTTTTTCACGTAGAATGCAATGATGCACGTAGAATTTTTCTAGACATCACGGTTTTTAAGTTATAAACACAACTTAGATTTTTTAAATGGAACCACCTATATTTTATTTTTTTATTGAACTAGAATTTTTTCAAGCTTTTCAATGATATATAATACTCTATACTTACCTTTATAATTAACCTCGAAATTAAAAAAAAACACATTATTTTATAAGTAGGCTATGATAAATTAAGTGATCGCGTTGCTAGGATACCAGAATAAACAAAGAATTTTGAAAATACTCAAGGACAGTAGAATCTAATAGGACTGCTACATCCATTGTGTTTTTGTAGTCCACTACGGGTTGGTTGCCCGCACTCTACGTCACACTATTTGCCACGCCTGGTAACTGTCTGTGTTTTTAGAGGTTATATGATAGACATTAATACGTCTAAAAACATAAAACTTTAAAAATAATATGAAGACGTCTAGGAGATAACCTTTAAAAATACACAGTAAACGCATAGACCATAACAACAGCTGGGCGTGGAAAATGGTATGACGTAGTTTGCGGGCAGGTTGTCACAACAATGGATGTAGCAGTCCTGTAAAAATACTATAATATTAATTATTGACTTATTAAAAAAATGTATCTATTAAATTTTGTTTGCTAAAAACGAAAAATTATTAAAAACTAAACATTATGCAAATATGGCTTCAAGTTACAAGAATTGTTCAAAGTTGTTACCATTTTGATGCACACATTGTTCACAAAGTTTAGTAATGCGTTTAATTGCATTTAGAATAGTTATGGGANAAGTATACCATTTTTAAAAATATATGCACTAATTAAGCCGAGGCTGCTTGCGGGTGAGACGCTACATCAATGCTATGTCAACATAAAACTATCCCACTTTCAACGATATACTTTCAAATTACGCCGAGGTCGTTTGCGGACGAGACAGTACATCAATGCCATGTTTATACAGAATTAACCCATTTTTAAGGTTGTTTATATTAATTAAGAAGAGGTCGCTTGCGGCTGAGGCAGTTTATTATTACCAAGTTCATACAGAATTATACCATTTTTAAAAACATATGTACAGGGTCTAAATTTCGATGGGTTTGCAGGGTATCTCAGTTATTATGAAAGTCTGAGCTACTTTTTTGTGAAACTTACAATGGCGCAAACCAAATTTTCATAGCCGGGTCGTTCTCAGAAGGGCTAAAAAAGTGTCCCTCTAATATCAAATCTTATATACTGAGATAAGTACATTCATTCGAGCAAAAAGCTATATGGTGAGACTCATTAGTATTACTTCATTAAGTTACATTAAAGTAACAAATATTTTATGTACACAAAATTCAAAAATTTTTAAAAGTTGGTTCGTTAAATACTTCATTAAATATTCTGGTGTCCCTCTGGTAAAATTGCAACTAAAACTATTTCTAAATCGGAAATAAAATAGTATTATATCATTTTATTACTGTCTTTTTTATATGGGGTAATTAACAAATCGATTTGAAGATGGTTTGTAATTTCTTATACATTTTGGTTTTAAATTAATCTCGAAAATGTTGTGTCCCTCGTTTTAATCTCAACTTCGTTACCACATCTTCTAATATAAATATTCATGTCGCCATGGTTACCCGGCTCATTGTTAACACTGCATAGGGAAGTTAATATTAGTATGACACTATTACTGTTAAAAAATATAAAATTGACACGCTGAATATATTCAAGATTTTGATTGATTTTGAATTACTAAAAAATATACGAACACGGTATGCAACTATCAGCATAAAATCTAATTTAGTTAAATTTTGAATATTTTTGAAAGCGCGTGTCCTCAACTCCGTGAATTTCAACTCCGTTACTAATGTTAGGCAGTAGCATTTACAGCCACATTTAACAGTTACAACGCATTATGTAAATACTCTAAATATTTTATTTTCAATGTATCCAACATTTAGTTAAAAGTTAAAGAAAAAGAAAACAGTGCTCAAATGTGATAATTTCCAAATTTATATGCACCATGTTTCTCTTGCTTTAGACGAGATCTAATTTTGAGTATAATTTCGATTTTACGTTTTATTATTCTTTTGTTCCAAAATGTGAAAACTAGAGGTAAGGTCTTAAGTGAGGCTGCGGTTACAACATCAAAGTAAAAGAAAATATGCAATTAAAAGAAGAGGGATGCTTTGAGAAAACTGAGAGCGCAACGAAAAAATGATCCTGAGGCTTATGAAATTGCTAAATTGAAGGAAAGAGAGCGGTATCATCGCAGAGTTAATTACGATAAAATAAAAAAGATATCAATGTTAACAGATCCAGATAAAAGACGTAAAAGGGAAGAATGGAGGGAACATAGTAAGAAACTTACCAAGCAAAAAAGGCAGCTAGAAAAACACCAAGTAGTTACAGAATTGATACAATCTATTCCGAGATACATATATGTTGCACCTCAGGAATATATCCCATCAGTATCGGTGTATAAATGTAGTGAAAAAGAATTTGTCTGTTGATAAAATCTTGATCCATATGGATTTTTCTAAAAATTACTTCTGTAAATATACTGAAAAAGTACAATCTGCACACTTTGGCTCTTTAAAGCATCAGATATCTTAGATATAACTGCGGCGTGGTAAAGTCTGTCAAGCAACCTTACCACACTTTTCATACCTTAGTTGTATATTAAAAGTATCCACACCAGATTACGATACTTTAGTAAAAGTCTTACAAAACTCAATAAAAGGGATCAAGATCTTTCGTATCGATGAAAAACTAATCCCTATGATCGACGAACTGATCCCAGAAAATATTCCTACGTTTAAAGGTACGATGAAAGTAGCCTGGATCAATAAACTAAGGAATAGACTTACTTTCAGAGAACTGACATGTCTGTGTTGTGAACCCGGCCAGCTTTGCTCACACTATAACTTGGATCTAAGGAGTATAGAACAGCTCTACGTTATAGCGTTGTATATACAGATTCATCATCATTGGATGATGATATGCCATTGAGTTTAGTATGCAATAAGTTGAGATGTTAGGAACAAAACTTGGAATTAAATTATTATTTGTCAACTCCGTTACCACTTCTCAACTCCGTTACCTCTAAACTTAACATTATTTTCATTATTTAATTATATTCTCAAAGTACAAAACTTTTGTTATACTAATATGTTTTCTTCGATAAATATATAACCTAGAAAACTAATTACACGATTTTTTTTCTTATAAACCTTTTTTCCACCCTTTCTGAGAATGACCCCTCCCTCTTCGTTTTTGATATACAGGGAGTGTTTGAAATTTACGATTTTCAGACACCTCCTGTATCCCGACTATCCGGAAACGTAAAAACGGGTTCTAATAGATTTTTTCACGTAGAATCCATGGTGCACGTAGAATTTTTCTAGTCATTACGGTTTTTGAGTTATAAAGAGTTAAGTATTTTAGAAGTTGAGTATTCAGTATTTGAGTTGTGTCTATAATTCAAAAACCGTGATGACTAGAAAAATTCTACGTGCACCATTGGATTCCACGTGAAAAAGTCTATTAGAACCCGTTTTTACTTTTTTACTAAGTTTCCGGATAGCCGAGATACAGGAGGTGTCTGAAAATCGTAAATTTCAAACACTCCCTATATATCAAAAACGAAGAGGGCTATGAAAATTTGGTTTGCGCCATTGTAAGTTTCAAAAAAATGTGGTTCAGGTTCGCGAAAGCAGCAACTTTTTATTTTTCATAATAAGTGAGATACCCTGCAAACCCATCGAAATTTGGACACCCTGTACTAATTAAGCCGAGGTCGCTTGCACGCGAGGCGCTACACTACATCCATGCAAAACTATCCTACTTTGAACGATATACTTTCAAATTACGCCGAAGTCGCTTGCGGCCGAGTTTATTATTACCAAGTTCATACAGAAGTATACCATTTTTAAAGATATATGTACTAATTAAGCCGAAGTCTCTTGCGGGCGAGGCGCTACATCCATACTGTGCCAACACAAAACTATCCCACTTTCAACGATATACTTTCAAATTACGCCGAGGTCGCTGCGGACGAGGCAGTACATCAATGCCATGTTTATACAGAATTAACCCATTTTTAAGGTTGTTTATATTAATTAAGCCGAGGTCGCTTGCGGCTGAGGCAGTTTATTATTACCAAGTTCATACAGAATTATACCATTTTTAAAAATGTATGTACAGGATTTAAATTTCGATGGGTTTGCAGGGTATTTCAGTTATTATGAAAGATAGAAAGTTGGGGCTTTCGCTAACCTGAACTACTTTTTTGTGAAACTTACAATGGCGCAAACCAAATTTCATAGCCCTCTTCGTTTTTGATATACAGGGAGTGTTTGAAATTTCCGATTTTAAGACACCTCCGTATATCAAAAACGAAGAGGGCTATGAAAATTTGGTTGGACCATTGTAAGTTTCACAAAAAAGTAGCTCAGGTTCGCGAAAGCCGCAACTTTCTATCTTTCATAATAACTGAGATAACCTGCAAACCCATCGAAATTTGGACACCTTGTACTAATTAAGCCGATGTCGCTTGCAGGCGAGGCGCTACACTACATCCATGCTGTGCCAACACAAAACTATCCTACTTTGAACGATATACTTTTAAATTACGCCGAGGTCGCTTGCGGCCGAAGCAGTTTATTATTACCAAGTTCATAGAGAAGTATACCATTTTTAAAGATATATGTACTAATTAAGCCGAGGTGTCTTGCGGGCAAGGCGCTACATCCATTGTGCCAACACAAAACTATCCCACTTTCAACGATATACTTTCAAATTACGCCAAGGTCGCTTGCGGACGAGGCAGTACATCAATGTCATGTTTGTACAGGCTGTCTCAGCGAGACCGGTCATTAGACGTTTCTGGGGTTCTGGCGAAAATAACAATTTCAGAATTGAGACTTAAGTATTATCAATTACGATATCTTCGACTAAAATATTTTCGGATTTCTTGCACTTCCGGTTATACCGGAAGTGCAAAAAGGAAATCTGCTCCAGCAGACATTTGTTCAAAAAATCAGAGAACACTTGATTTTTGGGATATCAATTTAGGATTGAGAACATACTTAAGCAACATGATGGAGTATGTTTTGGTGCCGAGAACTGCTGTCGAAAACGTTTGGTCACTTTACTACGGCACGTTAACTTTTCAAAATTTGAAAGTACCATAACTTAATTTTTTTAAATGGCACCCCCCATATTTTATTTCTTAGTCGTCTTCGGTGTCTCATTCTACATCTTTTATATCCCATATATCCCATACCTAATATTAATAGTTTGGGAGATAATTAGGGTTTTTTGAAAAATGCACACATATCATATGGATATTTAGCCTAGTGTGCCATGAAAAACAAGCCTTCCGAATGAGTTCTTGTCAAAGACTCACTTGTTTACGTCACTTGATGCATGTGAGCTAATAATTATCTGTTAGGTCCCTTAATATTTATACTGAAAAGAGTTAAAATCGATAACAATAACGAAAGTAATATTTACACAAATCAAGAATTTCTTAATTTATTTTTTTTTGCATGAAAAGCGCGACAAAGTTCGTAGTATGATTCCCAGATCTTCTTTGGCTGCTCGAATTGAGGTGTTGGGACTGGGCTCGAAATAAGCTAAGGTATTCACCTCTTCCGTTGCATTATCTACAACATCTTTTGGTCAGTTTAACACGTGATTAAATCATCCAAAATGCAAAAAATTTGCTTTTTTTCTTCTAAATTTACCTTTTGTCATCGAAGGTAAATGTGGATAATTTTCATTAAACATTCTGCAAGTTCTACTAAGAACTTTCTCGCACTTTTCGTGCACAAAAAATAAATTATGGATTTCTTCATTTGTATAAACATTATTTACGTTATTAATATCCATTTTAACTGGTTTTAGACTGACAAGCATCAAACAACGTAAATCAGACTTTGACGTTTGTCAATAAGTCATTAAACATTTGTTTTCCATGGCACACTGGGTTAATATCGATATGATATGTAAGCATTTTTCAAAAAACCCAAATTATTTCTCAAACTATTAATGTTAGGCATAGGACATATGGAATATAAAAGATGTAAAATGAGACGCCGAAGACGACTAAGTAATAAAATATGGGGGGTGCCATTTAAAAAAATGAACTTATGGTGCTTCCAAATTTCGAAAAGTTAACGTGTCATAGTAAAGTGACCAAACGGTCTAGACAGTCGTTCTCGACACCAAAACATACTCCATCATATTGTTTAAACATGTTCTGAATCCTAAATTGATATATCAAAAATGGAGTGTTCTATGATTTTTTGAACAAATTGACCGCTGGAGCAGATTTTTCTAGAAAAAATCGAATAACTCGAGAACGGAAGAATCAAATTGCAAAAAGTAAAGTTATTTATAAACCTTCCAAACAGACAAATCCAAATATGTAAAAATATACAGGTGTTCCATTTAAAAAAATAAAGTAGGTGGCGACTTCCGGTATAACCGGAAGTGGTAGAAATTTGAAAATATGTTAGATAAAGAGAACGTAACTGATAATACTTAAGTCTGATTTCTCAAATTTTTTGTTTGGCCAGAACCCCAGAAACGTAATGACCGGTCTCGCTGAGACACCCTGTATATAAATGACACCAATATTTTCTAGTTCTAGGTCTAGTGTTAGTTCTAGTTTTACACTAGAACTATCACTAGAACTAACACAAGACCTGGAACTAGAATCATTTGGGTTTAGCCGTATTGAGAGACGTGCGGCTAATTCTAAATGTTTCTAGTTCTAGGTCCAGTGTTAGTTCTAATTTTAAGTGTTATTCTATAACGGAAGGTAGAACTAACACTAGACCTAGACCAGAAACACTTGGGTTTAGCCGTGCGTTTCTTAAGACGGAAACTCAGAGTTATTATAAGGACGTCACTTTTTCCCAACAAAACATTTTTCTTTACAAAACTACCCAATGTACTATTAAGCTATGTTGTATTTTATGTGGGATTGTGCAAGTGCATAGTAGTTTCGTAACTATGATTACTGCATTTATGTATTGCAAATTAAATGAAATTCCCCGTAGATATACAGCTGTAAATTTATAGATACGCAGCCTTGGCTAGTGTATTGGTGAAAAAAATGTGATTTTAGCATACAAACCCAACCCAACTTCTTCTTCAACTATTGTCTGCATTCTGAAAGTTGGCAAACATTAAAATTGATAAGTAGTCTCGTCTTCATATTCTACATCCTTAGCTCAAATGCCTCGAGTCTCTTTACGTCAATTCCTTTCAAAATTCCCATTACAAAGATCCCGTAGTAAAGCATTGATAATACATACAGGGTGAATAAAAACTAGTTTCTTTTTGAAAGAATCCTTGCAGGGGTCAAAGACTATAATAAATTTGTCGTTTTTTCCTATGTCTAAATTTTTTTTACAGTGGCGTATATTTTTGGGGTCAAAGGGGGCAATTTTTTAAATGGCAACCCCAATTTTTTATTCGATAATCTGAAAGAACACACTTTTTTGAGTATCTTAGAGTATTTTGAATTAAGTTGTTGCAAAAGGTAAGGTAAAAGAACTGCAGCCTAGGTTGTGAAATTAGCAATACTATCTTCGCCCAACACATTAAAAAAAATGAAAAAGGTGCAAGATACGTCATCCTTTGCTTATATAAGACCGTACAGCCCTGAAGAAGCTTTAGCTCTTATACCGGATCTTGAGTTGACAAAAGAGTACATATTACATAACACATTATATTTATCCCTCATATCATGTGATAGCAGAGATAAAGAGGAAGCATTATACAACAAATATTATGATAACTGAGAACGAGGCTATGGTACCAGTGATAGATCTTCTTATACATACTACGCAACGTTTAGCACAAGTGCAGGCTGATGTAATACTTCAAAACATTTCGGAGGACTGTGATACTATCGAAGTTTATTATAAATGGGGCTTAGATGGCAGCGGTGGACAGTATTTACAAACAAAATTTCGCCAATAATTCGGAATATGCGGATTCCAACATCATTTTGTGTATGATCGTGCCACTACAAATGTGTGAATCTAATGGCAGTAACAAAAAATATATTGGAAGAATACGACACCATCATCGACAAGGTATTGCCGTCCAATTGGATTTAAAATAAAGAAAGAAAATGTCCAAAATGTAAAAAAAGAATATAACGAAGTACAAACACAAATATTGAAATTGGAGCCCACGAGGAACTAAGCAAATAAAATTTATACATATTCCCATATGTACGATGCTGGATGGAAAGGCAGTCAACATTTTGACTGATACTTCAAGTTCACAAGCGTGCAATATGTGTAAGGCCACTCCTAAAGATTTAAATGATCTAGTAGAGAAACTAAAGAACAGAGTTTGTTATGAAGACACATTTAAATATGGTATTTCTATACTTCATGCACATCTTAGATGTAATGAATATTTACTACATATAGTATATAAATTGGAAAACCTGTGTACTGCCATAGACGGTATTGATATTTTCTTATAGAGATTCTAAAAGACAATAAATGTATCAAATTTGAAACACTATTTCAGAAGATACTGGAGAAAAACGCAAAATTCGAAAAAACAATTAAAACTTTTCCAACCTGTATATCGAAAATAACGTCTTTGAGGCCACATGTATATTGGCATTTTTTTCTTATTTTGTCCAGTACTACCACTTGCTGCGATATTTGCACATCATTCATTAACACCCCAATAAACAATTTGACTTTAAATTGCTTTTTTTTAATTAAAACATACTATAAGTACCTGATTTTTGATGCATTTTTGATCAGAATATCAAATAAAATCATAGTTTACATTTTTGTCGTCGTAAATTGATAATATGGCTTTATGTGCGCCTACTAAAAATTTTTGCAAATCCAATGTTAATTAATAAAAAAAATTTATGTAACCTAATGCAAAATTTGCTCTAAGATACTCAAAAAAATGTATTCTTTCACATTATCGCATAAAAAATTGGGGTGGCCATTTAAAAAAATGTTGCCCCCTTTGACTCCGAAAATGTACGCCACTGTAAAAAAAATTTAGACATAGGAAAAGATGACAAATTTATTATAGTTTTTGACACCTGAAAGGATTCTTTCAAAAAGAAACTCGTTTTGAAGATATTTCAGATGTTCCAGACTTTTTAGTCACCCTGTATACAGGTGTCTCAGCGAGACCGGTCATTAGACGTTTCTGGGGTTCTGGCCAAACAAAAAATTTGAAAATGCAGACTTAAGTATTATCAGTTACGTTCTCTTCATCTAAAATATTTTCAGATTTCTAACACTTCCCGTTATACCGGAAGTCGCCACCTACTTTATTTTTCTAGAAAAATTTGCTCCAGCGGACATTTGTTCAAAAAATCATAGAACACTCAATTTTTGAGATATCAATTTAGGATTCAGAACATACTTAAACAACATGATGGAGTATGTTTTGGTGCCGAGAACGGCTGTCTAGATCGTTTGGTCACTTTACTATGATACGTTAACTTTTCGAAATTTGGAAGCACCATAACTTCATTTTTTTAAATGGCACCCCCCATATTTTATTACTTAGTCGTCTTCGGCGTCTCATTTTACATCTTTTATATTCCATATGTCCTATGCCTAACATTAATAGTTTGAGAAATAATTAGGGTTTTTTGAAAAATGCTCACATATCATATCGATATTAACCTAGTGTGCCATGGAAAACAAATGTTTAATGACTTATTGATAAACGTCAAAGTCTGATTTACGTTGTTTGATGCTTGTGAGTCTAAAACCAGTTAAAATGGATATTAATAACGTAAATAATGTTTATACAAATGAAGAAATCCATAATTTATTTTTTGTGCACGAAAAGTGCGACAAAGTTCTTAGTAGAACTTGCAGAATGTTTAATGAAAATTATCCACATTTATCTCCGATGACAAAAGGTAAATTTAGAGGAATAGAAGCAAATTTTTTGCATTTTGGACGAATTAATCACGTGTTAAACTGACCAAAAAATGTAGTAGATAATGCAACGGAAGAGGTGAATACCTTGGCTTATTTCGAGCCCAGTCCCAACACCTCAATTCGAGCTGCCAAAGAAGATCTGGGAATCATACTACGAACTTTGTCGCGCTTTTCATGCAAAAAAAATAAATTAAGAATTTCTTGATTTGTGTAAATATTACTTTCGTTATTGTTATCGATTTTAACTCGTTTCAGTACTAATATTAAGGGACATAACAGATAATTATTAGCTCACATGCATCAAGTGACGTAAACAAGTGAGTCTTTGACAAGAACTCATTGAGAAGGCTTGTTTTTCATGGCACACTAGGCTAAATATCCATATGATATGTGTGCATTTTTCAAAAAACCCTAATTATCTCCCAAACTATTAATATTAGGTATGGGCCATATGGGATATAAAAGATGTAGAATGAGACACCGAAGACGACTAAAAAATAAAATATGGGGGGTGCCATTTAAAAAAATGAAGTTATGGTACTTCCAAATTTTGAAAAGTTAACGTGCCATAGTAAAGTGATCAAACGTTCTAGACCGCAGTTCTCGGCACCAAAACATACTCCATCATGTTGCTTAAGCATGTTCTCAATCCTAAATTGATATCCCAAAAATTGAGTGTTTTCTGATTTTTTGAACAAATGTCTGCTGGAGCAGATTTTTCTAGAAAAATTCGAATAACTCGAGAACGACCGAATCAAATTGCAAAAAGTAAAGTTATTTATAAACCTTGAAAACAGACAAATCCAAATATGTAAAAATATACAGGGTGTTCCATTTAAAAAAATAAAGTAGGTGGCGACTTCCGGTATAACGGGAAGAGATCGTAATTGATAATACTTAAGTCTGAATTCTCAAATTTTTATTTTCGCCAGAACCCCAGAAACGTCTAATGACCGGTCTCGTTGAGACACCCTGTATAATTTGTATTTTTAATTTAAAATTTAGATACAAAAAAGTCTCTTCATTTCTGTAAATTTACTTAATTCACCCATTTATTAAACATCAAACAGATACTCCTTAATTAATTTTGATTTTCCTTAATATACAGGGTGTTTCAAGTTTTTATAGCAGGACTTTGACAGTCGATAAATTTTTTAAAATTAACACAAAAACTTCATATAAAGTCGACATAAGTAAAAATAAATCGACAAACGCTGTGTTTAGGAGATACAGGGTGTTCAAATTAAATTTTTCAACTCAAATTTGGTATGCGAGAAAGACGATTATGGAGTATATTCGTTAGAGGGCGCTTTGTAACATATTCTTTACGGATTAAAATAACCATAACTTTTTTGGCTTTTTGAATAACAATTCTTCTGTATTCTCTGTACTTTTTTAAACAAAAAGGGTCTTCTGATCAAGTTTTAATAATTAAAGATAGTTAAAATAATGTGTGCCATTGAAACAAACTAGGTAAGTTAACTAATGTTTTAGTTTATTGTATCAGGTGTCCAATAATAATTAATAAAACAGACTTATTAATTGTCTTTCTCATGCCAAAAAACCCTCGTACACCAGTTTTGAATAGAATCAGTTGAAATACACGTGCAATAATTTAAAAATTTAATTTGAACATATGAAGCTTTTGTGTTAATTTTAAAATGTTTATCGACTGTTAAAGTTCTGCTACAAAAACCTGAAACACTTGTATATATTTTTTTAAATACAACCTAAATGATGTGTTTGTTTGATGTTTCAGGATTATTACGGATTACAAAACGACTCCCGGGAGGAGACCGTTTTCGCCACGTTAAACGAAGAATTATTACAAAACTTTGGTCTTATAAACTACAATTTAACGAGGTATCTGAACCAAAATTATTTTTCTTAATTAATTAATTTTTTCTAATTAAGTTTCCAGGAAATCCCCGACTCGGAACTCGAAGAAACATTCAAGAAAATATCTTCCGCTTACACCGCGGACCAACAATCGATTTCAACGCGCCTTCAAAAACAAACGGAGAAGACCGCGAACAAAAAGAGAAAATATTTGGAAGAAATTTCGATCTGCAAGAAGATCCTCCAGGACGAATTCCTGAATTCAAACGGATTAGAAAACGTTACGGCACGTTTGGATTCGACAGGAAAATCCTGCGAGGATCTCACCGCTTCGGCAGAGCTATTAGGGTCTTTGAAGAAAGAGAAGGAGATGATGGGGTGTTTGGGGGTGATGATTGTGTATTTGGAACGATCTCGAATTGTATTAAAAAATGTGGAGAACCAATTGCGGTCCATCGAGTCCCTTTGGATCAAAGACGAGAAGTAATTCAATTAATTTAAATAAATCGTAATTAATATTATCTTTTTTAGGAGACAATTCCAAGCGGTGAGCTTCAAACCCCTCAATCTAGAGCCAATTAATAAATGTTTGAGTTTGGAACGATCGGGGGTTAATGAAACTCATATATCACCGAGGTTAATTCAAATTAAATTAAAATCGAGTTCTAATTAATTAATTGAAATATTTTTAGGCCTATATCTAAAATGATTAAGACGGTGACTTACTCGTTTATTACTTGGATGATTTTTATGGGAATTAGTTGCTTGATGGTGGTTTTTCTCTTCGAGGATGATTACAATTACTTGTCGTGGGGGTTTAACACTTTCGAGCATCCGTGGATGCCGTTTGTTAAGAAACAATATTTAAGGGGACCACCCCCGACTTAATCACGATTTGTTTTTTTTTTTAAGTTTTTTTTGCGTCCTCTCTATATTTAAACGAATAAGATGTTTAAGTTTTGGACGTATCTATATATTTTTTTTAAATTAAAAAATAATAACAAAAAAAAGAACATCTGGGTCGATATAAAACACATAAATGTTATTAAAATGAATCAAATTAGTTCGTTAAAAATTAACGCGGCTAAAGTAATTAATTTAAGTCTTAAAAATAGAGTTGATGTGCTCAAACTAGATGGATTTATCCCATGGGAGTTGATCAAAATCCTTTAGGAAACGTGGTTAAACGACAATTTCAACGCATTAAAGAGTTATCACCCCGAAATTCAGGAATTATCGTATTTTGAACCGAAACGTTTTGATGACCCTTTCACGAAAACTTCATTAATTGAAATATTTTGCAGGTAATAATTTAATTATTAATACTCATTCATATTAATTATTATTATTTAGAAATTGGATATTTAATAATGACGAAATCGATATATTATGTGTTTGGAAATTTTGTTATAAAGGATGGTTACAAGAAGAAATTTGTATTGATTGTTTAAATGGGTATAATAATTTTATTCGGATAAATAATGATTTTTTGAGTGCGAAAGGTTTTAAAAGGATCTTTAAGAGGCGAATTATGGACCATGATGACGTTGATTTTGAAAGTTTTTCTGCTTTAATAAAAAATCAACGCAATTGGTGCTCCTTTTGCTTAAAGAGGGCGAATTTTCGATTGATACCGAGAAGATTGTGTTGTCACCGTATTCATGAATTAATTGGGGAGGAATATTGGCAAGAAGGATTGCGGATTTTTTATGAGGGAGATTAATAATTATAATTTATAAATTACTAATTAATTGTTTTAAATTAAAACATTTTCTAGCCAGAATTGACTTGTTTTTGTAAAAACGATATGCAGAGGAATGACGAGATAAGCAGAGGAATGATTTTTTTATTTGATACGGCAAAATAATACAATATTAGGCATAATATGCATGTTAAAACCAAAACAGTGAATAGGGAAAACTAAAATACAAACTTGCTTAACGTTAACGTTAACGTTTTACACTTGAACAAGCAGCTTCTTCATCTTCGTCAGAATAAACGTCTTCAAACTGTAGCTCGTTTTGAACTTTTATGGAACCGCTGATATATCTGCTTAAAGGAGTGTCCTCATCATCACTAGACGTGTCACTAGAAGATAGTTCATAATTAAGCCCAATTTTGTTGAATTCAAGGGAACCAATGAAGTATTTTTTATTGCCGTTTATGAAAGTGCTAAGTTCATACAAATTTAATCTGATGCTACTTTCATAATCTTCTTTTTTTATTTGGTGTACTTTCATTGTTCCTCTAAAGGTTTGTAGCAAAACATTCTTAAGTTTTTGGGACATTTCATCAATTTTGTCTGCATCAATCTGATAGTAAGTTATGTTCTGAATGTTTTGACACAGGTTATTCAACATAGCTTTTATTTCGACCATATTTGCTCCTTGACCAACCAATCCTATCCCGTCAGGTGCCCCCTTTCCGTGACCAGCTTCTAAATAGTTCCAAGTAAAATTTTTTACTTTTGGCTGTAATTTTGGCAACTCGATTGCTAGGAAATAAAACATGGTTTTATTACGGTATTGAGTCGACGGTGAGTCACTAATAAAGTGAAGCGTATCAACTGTTGGGTAAGAGTTTGTTATGCACTTTATTATTGGGTCTAAATGCGCCCAAATGGCCGGGACATTATGTACATTATGACACACATTATGACATTATGTTGCTGTACCTCATCTTGTTTGGTATATACAACAACAGTATATAGAGATATCTGTTTTCTTGATCCTCCGAAGTGGAATGCTTGTATCTCTTCTGCATATTTCATGTTGTAGTTTTCACTAAAATCCATGTGAATAACCGCCTCGGTAATTCGAAGATTCTCTTTAAGTTCTTTGAGTTGTTTGTACTGATGTAAGGATCTGCCTTTGTGCTTCAGAAATGATATAATACTTTGTTTTAAATCAGCTATAATATCAGAAACCTGGCATTCAACTTTCTTCTTTGATGTCTTTCTAACCTGCTTTTCTTTTTCTGATGTTTTGTCAACATACGTGCATTTTTCTGCCATCCATTTGAAGTAGTAACTGCGTTCCCTAGGGTTGTATTCACGGAATGATATTTACATAGAAATACATTTATCGCATTCCCGTAAATAACATTTTTGTAATTCGCTACGGTAATGGAAGCTATAACAGTACTCAAACGGGTGCTGTAATGAGACTCTTTACAGCATCCGATGTTGTAATGAGATTTTAGTAACATTTTATGGAAGCAGTTCAAGTTGGTGACATTGGGTCATTAATTTTTCTAGTTGTCAATGTGACAATTTTTGTCTATGGATGTTTAAACACGTTCTTAGCATCGAATACAAAGTCCACAATGATGAGGACATTGACTCTGAGCAATTTCTCTTATTTTGGGAGGTGTACATCAAACATTTTTTTCAGGTGAATATATTTTGTGTTTTGACAGTTTCTAATTGTCAATTCAAAGTTTCTATTTTCAAGTGTTCCGGTGTTACCAACTGCTATATACCTATTTCCCTAC